AATACTGGACTATTGTAATGCTCTCTTGGTGGGCCTTCCGGCATGTACTATCAAGCCTCTGCAGCTGATCCAGAATGCAGCAGTGAGAGTGGTCTTCAACGAGCCGAAGAAAGCCCACGTCACACCTTCATCAGTTTGCACTGATTGCCAGTAGCTGCTCGCCTCAAATTCAAGGTACTGATGTTTGCCTACAAGACAACCACTGGCCAATAGTGGTCACCAATGTACCTAAACTCGCTTGTTCAGACTTACGCGCCCTCCAGAAGCTTGCGTTCTGCAAGTGAATGACACCTCGTGGTACCATCCCAAAGAGGCACAAAATCACTCTCACTGACCTTTTCCTGGACTGTTCCCAGCTGGTGGAACGACTTGCTTATCTCAGTTCGAGCAGCTGAGTCTTTAGCCATTTTCCTAAGACAGATTTACTTACCTATTCTATTCATTTTTACTAATTTATATAAAAAATAACAAGAACAACAACAAAACCTTGCTATGTGTACTGTGCTAGATTAACTGAGACTTGTCACATCACTTTTATACTGTTGCTCTCTTGTTGGTCTGATTGCTTCTATTGTTCTCCTCATTTGTAAGTCGCTTTGGATAAAAGCGTCTGCTAAATGATTAAATGTAAGAATCATTTTCTCTGTAATTAGACTACACTTGTCATGCTTTGTTTTTGATTCACTTAAAAAGAACCAATTCATTATTCATGCATTTGGGAATCAGACTACACTTATTCCACTGTATGTGTTTGATTTACTTAAACAACCAACTCATAAGAGTCATTCAGTCGGGAATTGAACTACACTAGTCACACTGTATTTGCTCACAGAAGTCACTCGCTCTGGTATTGCACTACACTGGTCACACTATACTGTATGTTTCTGATTCACAAAAAAATTAATCGGTTCATAAGAGACATTCGCTCAATAATTGTAGTACACTGGTCACGCTGTATGCTTTTTATTCACTAAAAAAGACCAGCTCATAAGTATATTTTTATCTGTAATCAGACATCACTGGTCATTTTGAACATCGTTTAGTTCTAGTATTTAAAGGGGTCATATGATGCTGCTAAAAAGAACATTATTTTGTGTATTTGGTGTAATGAAATGTGTTTATGCGGTTTAAGGTTCAAAAAACATTATTTTCCACATACAGTACATTATTGTTTCTCCTCTATGCCCCGCCTTTCTGAAACGCGTCGATTTTTACAAAGCTCATCATTCTAAAAAAACGAGGTGTGCTCTGATTGGCCAGCTATCCAGTGCGTTGTGATTGGCTGAATGCCTCAAGCGTGTGACGGAAATGTTACGCCCCTTAACATACTGTGATGCCAAGTCCCGGCGCGACAAGACAAACCCAATAAAACCCATTACAAACGAGGCATTTGTTGCATCCAGTGGGG